ACAGATAATAATAATAATAATAATAATAATAATAATAATAATAATAATAATAATAATAATAGTAATAATAATAATTATAATAATTTTGGCTTAAATATCGCATTATGCTAAAGCCTCGATGCGCTTAACAATAAAAATGAAACTGCCGGATTAACACTTAAGGTCTCCCTGGTTTCGTTTTTTGGTCACCATGGTCATCGCAAATACACTACTGCAATATTTCACGAATGCCCACATAAGAATCTTGGGCCTCACAGAGGTCTGGTTTTCAATAAAGTTGAGATTAGAATATCTGTCGTCATCAAAATGGACCTTTCCGGGGAGTCAATCAGACTTAACAAAAGACAAATCAGATCAGGACACGAGTTGTCCCACAAAACGCACATGTTCGCGTATGTTTTAACACTCGTTATTTGGGACTTTAGAAGCAATATCCAAGGGGTGGTGTTTAGCGAAAAGGTCCATTATACTAGTGGCTGGCTGGTAGTGACTATTGTACTCTGTTTTAGGCCTATACTTGTTATATAAATTGTGTTTATGCTTGTTTGGGCCAGAGGCCTATAATCAATTCATGATTTATGTTGATTTATGGATTCAATTTCTTGGTGTTTTGCAATTGGAAGATTTAAAAAAAAAAATCAGTTTTACTACTAAATAAATGCTTCTTAAACTTATTCCCAGAAAAAAAAAACTAACTTATGTTTGTTTTGAAAAATACATGATTTATGTATACCATAATATAATGTACGACACAAGACTTTGTCTTCCAACTTTTAATAAAAGTTAATATGTGTACACATAGGCCTACTATGTACAATGTGTTAATAATAAATACATTTATAAAGTGCCTTTTTCTGGATAGGTTACAAAGCGCTGAAAAGATCACAAATCACAGAAATAAAATAAATTAAACATTTTGAAAACAAGTAGGTCTTGAGTAATTTTTTAAAAGATGTAATTAATGAAGATGGAAATGTTGTGTTGTTGAAACATATTTTACTGTATTTTTATACCATTTTAATTTTACGTTTTTTTGTAAATGATCAGTTGCATACATTCACTGGAGTGTGCTTATTTTATTTTGTTGTATTTCTTTACTAAATAACCTTTCACATGGGTTTAAAAATATTTGTTTAAATAACAAAACAACGACGGTTTGTTTCTTAAGGTGATTGCAAGGAAGAATGTATGTCAGACCTAAAACTGGCAGCAGTAAGCAATACTGTATTTGGCTTGAATGTAAAAGAACTAAGAAATAAGGAGGTAAGAATACAGAGAATCAGTAGCTAGGTTTAAACATTTTTGGATTATTGTATTAATTTTATTGTCATCATCATCATCATTGTCATCATCATCATCATCATTGTCGTCATCATCATTATTGTCATCATTATCATCATCATCAAAATGATCAACCTCATCCTCGTCAAAGAGGGCCATCTTCTTCTTCTGTACGGCAACCGGGCAGCCGTAATATTTGGTTTTCAGATCGATGATTGATAATGCGCACATTGAATACAGCTTAGTGTACGGTAATATTTGAAAGAAGATATTCAAAATTAATTTTCTTTCCTATACCATCAGTTCTGTCTACCAAGTGTAAGTGTAAGTAAATACAAATCAAATTTCCATGATCTTGACCTTGTATTTTGACCTTTTCTTTCTAAAAATAACAAACACTTTCTTTGATTATTATGTATCATTCCACTAAATTTTATGATGATCTATTTCTTAGTCTTTTTTGTAATGTTGCTAGCAGAGAGACAAACAGATCGAAGCGAATACAACCGCTTTGTGCGGAGGTAATAAGAATTAACAATGTATGTTATTACCCTATATCAACCCACCTCTACATGATCAATGGTAAATATTCATTATGTGCACGTATCTCAACTCACAGCGGTGTATTCAGAATGCTATAGATACGTCATGGATTCTTCAAATGAATGACACTGAAGCTGGAATTTCTCTAAATTATTCCGTAAAATGTCAGCAAGGCTGCCAGCATTGCAATGATGAATCCCTTCGACCATGTAAGTCTAATACCAAAATATACTGTATAAAAAGACCTGGAAAATTAATTACAAGTCCTAATGTTAATAGTATTGCTTATATGATTCAGTTCACCTTCCAATTCGAGACCCCTCTAATTCTGAAAATTTCTAATTTCAGACCATTTCTTCAAAATATCAGATAATCAACAAGTTAACCCTCTAATTATCTGAGATCGATCTGAAACCACACACATTTTCAGGGTTTCCAAGAGTGGTCTCTAATTAGAGGGCAATCTGCATTGGCATTTAAAAGAGCTGTATGCCAGAAGGCAGATACAGTACCCAGAGACTTGAAATATTAAAGCTGGTCATGTACAATGTACCTCAATGGCAGAATTACGATACATGTACATAAATATATATTTTTGTAGATCCTCCACAAGAGATTACTTACAGATCAACGACTGGATCAGACTTGTGTGTCGGATGGAAAGGAAATGTATCAACAAATTATACAATGTATTATAGACAAGGAAGGTAAGTTGAAATAAAGATGATGATGCTACTTCTGCTGCTGATGATAATGACGATGCTGATGCTGCGACGCTGATGATATTTCTATGCACCTGAAAAGAAAGTTTTTTGTTGAAGAGCTATGCTAATATGATTATGACATCAAGTGTAAGCCTAAAGTATATTCGAGCACTTTTATTGGCTTTTTTCCCCCGCACTAGCATAAAAGTCTATTTTACTGCTGATTTTATTTCTGCTTCTATTCTGTTTCATATTTTTTTACACAGGGTTTTTCTGTCCGGCACTTATGCTCACTGCTTGGTTCTTCTTCAAACATTGTCCAAGTAAAAGACCTTATCAATTATTATGTGCATATTAAAATATGACGTCATTCTATAAAATTAATGGATGGACAATGTATTTTATGTTAAAGATGTATTGTCCAATGCTAAATACCAAAAAATCATAAAAAAAACACAGAAATTATTGTATTTGAAAAATTTCTACTCATCAGTTTACAGCGAAAAATGATAGAAACACTTCCATTCACTGGAAGTGTTTTATATTTTTATTATAATTTTTTTGGTTTTAAAATCAGAGTACACATTTTTTAATTCAATAATTTTTATGCACAAGTTAATAATTTGTATGCTATTGCAATAATAATGAGCAAGTTTATTTCTAAATTATTTTTTTATGACTTTTTGACATTAGCAAGAGACAATACATCTTTAATGCAATTTTCATTTTCAAAAGCGTTTTAAATTAGCTGCAACTATGTTAAATGCAAAGTTACAGTGATATGCATAAACAGTTTTCTCCCTCCAGCTAATTTATAGCTTTAAAATATCTCCATTTCGTGAATTCAAAATTCAGTGGTATGAAAAAAAATACTTGGGGTGGGAGGTTCTACGCCTACATTGTATAGGTTCCTGTTGTTTCTGTATTGTGTACTTTCAGGTTCAAATCTTGTGAGAGGTAACTTGCGTGAAGATGGTGCTGACATTAATTAGGATATCTAATGGTTTTTAAATTTGTTTTAATAAAGGGATGATCCATTATTTTATATGTGAATATTTGTATTTTTATAGAGGATACTGTTCAGATGAGTACCAACGGTGCACAGCAGATAAGTCAGAGAACGAATTTTTCGAATGCTGCCCACAAAATCTTCATCCGGTTTCTCCTATTTACGTGAAGATAAATTATGAAAACAAATATATGCATGTGAACGGTATATTATACTGGTTGAGAGCTCAGACTATATGTAAGCAAATGTCAACAACACTGGTTAGCTACACTGCTAACGATAATGAGTGTGATGACGATAACCTTAATAATAACACTAATTTAATAACACTTAGGCCTTTTTAATATACATTAAAATATTCATATACAACATTATAATAGAGATAAACTCTAAACATTCTTGTGTAATGTATATATATATATATATATATATATATATATATATATATGTATATATGTATATATATCTATATATGTATATGTATACATATGTATAT